CTTCCCAGACTAAGAAAATGGGGATGGAAAGCCTTTATTTTATATTCAACAATTTTAGTTCTGCTGCCCTGCATAATAATGCTATCGCACGAAAACTCTCAGTCTGATGTTCAAATTCAAATGGTAAGCAATTACCTTATTCCACTATAAGGATTGATTCTTATCTCTTACATTCATTGTAATGAATTGAAACTTCACAGAAGTTAAATTAAAGCAGCCATAAAGTAAGATCTAGATGCTTGTTATCATTTCACTTTTGCTTATAGATCTATTTACTTCCTCTCTTTTTCTGCATGAAGTCAGGGAAGCAGTTTGAGTATCACTTCAACAAACTAAATAGATAAAGCAGAGGGGTAGCTTTTTTAATAACATTTTACAAATCTCCACAGCAAGCCCATTACTCAAAAGAGAAGAGACTATAAAGCAGATATTTTGGAGGGCTTATTAAAAATTATTACAGGAATTGCAAGCCATTCTTTTTTTAACCTAAGTATAAATCATTGCTAAGGGGATCACTACTCTTAGAAGCTCTGTAAACTGTCCTGAACCTAAAGGGTTATTATCACAAATCACTCTTGTATAAGACTTCTTTCATTCCGCTGCAGGCTGATTTCCTTCCCCCCACACCCCCCAAGGTTTTATGTCACTGAAGTGTGGTGTAAAATTGTAGCTATTGTTGGCCTCTTTACACACTGTTCCTAATTTAACAAACAGCAGTTTAGAAGGTCAAATAGGAAAACAATATCCTAAGAAAATAGCAAGTTCTGCGGCTTTGAAAAAAAAAAATAAAAAATAATAAAAAAAAACAGTGCCAAAATATTTATCTCCTCGGTTCATGAAGCCATAAAATAAGTACAGCACCGTGAATCACCTCAAAACTTCAAAGCTTGTATGCCCAGTGTACCATTTTAGGGCTATTAAGTTGTACAGCTACTGTACTTGTAGTAAATAGTTATACAAGATTGTAGTAGCAGTGCCAAAGATTTCACCCTTACAATAAAATTTCCTTAAAGCTGCACTTTTTACCATGAACTCACTGCATAAGTTCATAATGCCTCTTACCATCTCAAGAGCTTCTGCACAAAAAAAATATTGACAATTACATTGAAAACACTATCACTCTTTAGCAAACACATTTCAAAAGATATGCGCAGTGTAGAAAAGCAAAGTAATGGCTTTGTTCATTGCATCAAAGACCATGATTAAAATTCATTAAACTATAAAACCTCCTTCTATGAAACTGAAGGTGGTACTATATCCCCAATATGTTACATAAACCAAGAAGAAAATAGAAAGACATAGCTTTCAGGGGTATATGATTCAGAAATGAGCAGAATATTTATTCATCTACATTGATACCATGCCTGTATGTGATTTTTAGTGATTTGTGCCAACTAAATGGTCAGAGGCTCAATTTAAATGAGTATTTAAAATCTAGTGCATCACAATCTCTTTACACCTGCCTTATGTTCAGCTACTTGCTATTCCAGCTGGCTGGGGTAGTCAGAAGGTGCCTTAGAGAGGCCACCTGGGAGGACTTAAGCCAAATCCTCATTATGCCATGTAATGAACAAGTCGTACAGGGCATCCTGAATTTTTTGTATATGTCATAGGACAATGTACATGATTTTTGTTCTGTAATCTGGCAAACCCACTTGTGTCAGTGTCCATGATTTGAAAGGAAAATTAAAACAAGCTCTTTTGCACTTGGCGTATTATGAATTACATTGTCACAGGAGCACTTTGTTGTAACCTCAGTTAAATATTGTGTTATACTTAAATATTGAAGATCATTTTTTAAGGTTATGCACAAGAAGCTGCCAAAAATTCTTTTTTTCCCCAGCAATTTGTTAATACCACCAAGACTACGAAGTCCACTTAAGCAATTTTGAACTAGTGCTGAACAAGTTGAAATAAAAATTTAGACCAATTGTGACTTTCACAATCAGGGCTTGTCTCCAAAGATACCTCATTTTGGAGATTGTCCTCAGGATGTCTTTATGACAGATCTATGTCTGCATTATACTACACAGTCTATAATAAATTAATTTTCATTACTCCTTTGTGTCGAATAGATTCACTTCTACTCAGTACATCTTCTACTTAGCTGTTTCTTCTTCCATGACCACTGACCAAAACAATGTCTTTAATAGTTGCCTTGCCATACTCCTTCTTCTTTACAGCCTACGCAACAAAATAAACCCCAAAAATGTCCCTGAAAGTCCTTACACTTATTTATAAGCTGTATCTTCACTGCATTTCTGTCTGTTAGTATCAGTTTCTTCCACAACAAATATGCTTTCAACCTAGCTACTCGTATTGATTTTGCTCCTTGCTTTCAGTCAGCTAAGTGCCCGCATTCAGCTAAATGAACTTGTGCAATGCTTCCAAGCCTTGAGAGGTATGCACAGGAGAGGCTGTTTCCTGCAACTGCTTTTTTATGCTGGTAAAAATCTCATATGCTTTGTAGAAAATATGTTTTTACCCTTGATTCTGAAGCTTGAAACCTTAGTAAATTAGCTGAGAAAATAACTGAGTGGAATCTCACAATGCTTTGCACAAAATAATTCACCTAACAGAAAGAAGTAATTCTGTTCCTCCCATAAGGTATAAAGTATATGAAAATCCTCTTTAATTAAGCAGTATTGCATAATTCTTAATAATAATGATGTATTCAAAGGCAACATGCTGTGGTGGTGAAAACAGGACCTACTTTGCCAGACACATTTCTCTTAATGCACATTTATTGCTGGTACATTCCACCAGGTAGAAACAGGCAAACAGTCAAAGGAAAGGCCCTATCTTTGAAAGTTGACCAGTATTTCTAAGATTTAATATCAACCACTAAGAACACTCAACCTTTTCTAGGGACCAAATGAGATATCTGAAAAAAGATTCAAGCACTTAGCTCCAAAATTCCTACTTTCTGAGGACCTGATTTTAGAGGTAGGTAAACAATTGGGCCTGAATTATTTCAAATCAACTTTCTAAAATACTTCAGTTTCTCCTTTTTGGCCATGCATACCATCTTCCAAGCCACAAGAACTAGCTAGCTGTACAGGACTTTCAGAATCCCTAAACTTTTCGTATTCTGTCTCTCCTGCTTTGTGACTTTCCTTTGGTATGACTGATTATACAGTGCCTAATAGATCAAACTGTGAGTGGGAAAGGATTTTGTCTGGTTCTTTTTAACCAAAGTTCACCAGTTTTATATCAAACCTCACCTGTCAGAGTACTTATTATGCAAAGTAATTTGACTTAATTTCTCCTTAGGAACTATTCTGACAAATAACAGGCAGTATTTAAATGTAAAATACATTGGATATACACAAATAGATGATAACAATATACATTTGATTTTCCAATTTCAGAAGCTTGTTTAGGAAATAAATGATATATTCAGTAAACCAGGCAGGTTTTTTGATCTTCACCAGATGAAATAATCTTGTGTCAAGCAGTTTGAAAGAGATTTTTGAATAAAAAACAGATTGTAGTTTCCTGACAGAATTGCTTTGTATCTAAACAGATTTTCATTAATTACATTGACTTTCAAAAACAAATGTCAAAGAACGCAAATGTTTTCAGTTGGACAACCTAGTTGATTTAGAATGTGGCATATTCATGTTAAATGTAAATTAATGGATTTTAACAGACTTAGACTAATTATATTTGTGATTTGGATTTGTCTGGTTTGATAGTGAACACGTTTAACACTATGGATGTATGCTCATTTTTCAAAAGCATTTTCTAAAGGCATGGTCCAAAGCATACCTAAATAAACAGAAGAACCTGCCCTTGACTTGAACAGGCCTTAACCACTGTGACTTTGTCAAGAAGAAAGTTCTCATGTGATTTCTTATAAGATACGATGAGAAATGAAACACACACAGGTTCTCATTGATCATAGCTGGAGCCCACAAAGTGACATTGAAAAGTGGTAAAAAGGGAACCCAGGAGGACTGGAAAAGACTCAGATTTTATGGGTTATTGATTTACCAGGGACAGTCTTGCCAAGTTTAAATGAAGGAAAAGAGAAAAACAGCACAATCCATGTGTAATGCTGTTGAAGTAATGCAATATATGACTGAGAGCTATAGTAGCGTTCTTTAACATCCCTTCACAAAGCAGCTACATAATTTTAGTGAAAGAAATGGCTACAGTAAAAATTGAAAGGATCAGAATCCCAATGAATTATAAAGCTGAAATTTTAAAAGATTATGAACTTTAATTATAAAACTACTCTCTGATTTTATTGCTATAAATAAATTAAATGACACAAATGAATGTGCAACATACATTCAACCAGAAATGTTACACCCTTACCACAGTTCTATAGTTCCCTTCCAGATAAGAGGGGTCATAGCGCAGCAACCATCATGAACCAGAATGATACAGAAAAAACATCTAGTTCCAGTAGGAAAAAACCCAAACAAACATATAGAAATTGCTATTCTGGCTGAGTGTTTCAGACTCAAAACTCATGGAACACCTGTAAGTTATGGTCTAAAAGATAAACTGGCAATTAAATAAATGATACTAATGCTTATGGGCTCAGTAACGATGCTGAGTTTGTGGTTTACATCACAGACATGAAAGTAACCCTTTTTTTTTTTCCTTTAAAGGAATCTAAATAATTAACATAATTTGATTAAATAAAATTGATTAGATTTGGATTTTAGTAACCTGTTTTTACCTTTAGTTTTTCTGGGTTATATCTGAAAAAGAAAGGATTCTCAATCAAAAAAATGTTCAACATTCTATAGTGTGGGGAAATCCCTTTGCTTGAATAAATCTTTCTTCAAAATCATTTAAGTTGCATTATAGCCTTTTATCAATGAATATACCATAACATTTGTGATTTTTTTAATGTTTTTTTACTTAAGTGAACAGTTGGCATGAAAATAGAATACGTAGTGTGAAAACTGGTATGCCATTTTTCTGTTGGTTTGCCATGAGGCTTTTGCAGTCTACTGGTTTTTGGTTTTTTTTTTTCTCCTTACCTGGAACTCTCTTTGCCCAGTTGATCATATGCACTAATTCTCTGTCTGCAAGGCTGGTCAATAGGGTCATCATGGAGGCTTCGTTGAATGGTCTATTTGGGTCATATTCAGAATAAACTATGGGTGGCTCAGCTTCCAGCAAGGCACGGACCATCTGTTCTGCCGTCAAGGACAGAGCTGGACTGTTCTTCTTGTTATGTTTAACCACCAGAGGACTTGTCCAAACTGTGGGAGCTCGCAGCTCTGTAGAAGACTCCCCATTCTTGGAATCTGGCTCCTCTTTTTGACGTTTTTGTTTCATCATTCGCCCACCTCTGCGATCTTTCCGGATTCCTAGAGACACACAAGAACATAATGAACTCCTTTCCTGAAATTGATGTGTTACACACGCATAACTTTAGGCAAGCAGCAGCTGCTGTTGATAGACCTAGGTACCATTAACTCCTGTTCTATTTTCTGAAGACTTCTTCCTATATGGGGAATCTTACATCAGTAGCTGGAGAGAAAAACTATTTTAAAAAGTACTGTCAGGAATAGCACACTCCTTCCCAAAATTCAGGTCAGTCGGGCTTATGGAGGACTGTAGACTTCTGACACTATATTGCTGCCCTAGCCCCACAAAAGGAAGCACAAATTTTTACAGTACAAACTTCAAAGTATGTCTCAACCTCTAGCAGACACCTATTTGATAAATGATCAGTGATCAACTTAATGATCTGGGTGGGTCAGATGGATCACAGAAGTAGCTCTCAAAAACATCCAATAAAGTTTTGCTCAAGTTGACCAATTATTTTAATAAAATATTATCCGATTGGTGAGCCTGTGATCTTCATAATTACATAAAAACTGTCCAAAAAAGTTCCCATTATCAGATGAGCTTATACAGCAATAAAGAATGCCATATAAGTAGATAAACAGAAGTAAGAAAAGGAAAGATAAATGCAACCTCAGAATCCAATGTGGGAGACCTACTGTTAAAAGGCTGTGATAAGTGCAACAGAAACTGTCATTACTGCACATTTCTGCAATGTGCTTAGCACTGAAAGACCCTGAACCTTGGGATATTATCAAGTCAGCCACACCAATTAGAGCAACAATATAAGACCTTACAGTGGAACAAAATCTCTCTTTGTGGAAAGGTTACAAGAAAAAATATAATGTTAAAGCCCATGCGAACTCTAACTGTAAAGGGAAGATTAAGTCTGGCTCTTAGTGGAGGAGGCACAGGCATTTTGAGGCTGAATTAAAAACTTAAATCAATCATCAAATGGGAGCAAGGGAGAAGCAAGTAATAAGGAAAGCACGCAAGGAATTGAGCTATGAGAAGGCAGCTTATGATGGGGCTTATACTGGAGTTCTCATGCAATGTGGAAAAGCAGCACTAGTCCCAGTTTGAAAATCAAAAGAAGTATCTATAGACAAGGAGGCTGCAAACTATTCAAGAAACAGAGAAGAGAGACAATTTGGACACAAACAAACAAACAAACAAAACTGGCACTTCCAATCGATCAATATAGGTCTTTCTGATGGGTGAAGGAGTGGGAAACGCTTTTTTCATACCACAAAAGTTTAAACTTTTAGATACTCAGTCTTTGTTAGCAACATGATCTTCATCTCGCATCCAATATTCCTTAAAATCAATGTCGAATTATATCAGGTGGTGTCCTTTCCCAATCTCAGAGGAACAGAAAGGATCTTTAAATGTGTATACCTCTTTCATTGAATATGGTGATATTTTCACTGAATCAGGGCTTGCATATTATGCACTTCACATCTAATTCATTCAAAATCTAGTAGTCCTTCTGATTCTATTTTATTAATCTTTCCAGATAAAGCAAGTTTAATAAATCTTTCATCACTCCTACTGCTTAACCTCTTTACATTTTCCTGTTCATTAAACTTATTGTAAGCCAAAAGTCTCAAGTGCATTGCTACTCCCATTTTTCATTTAGTAATACCAGCTTTTCCAGTCACTACACTGTTTCTAATTTGGAGAGGAGGGGAAGAGTCTTGCTATTAAGGAAACGTGCAAGTCTTATTTTGGCAAAATACCATTCTAGACTTATGCCACTGGTAGCTTACTTCATTGCAATACTCAATAACATGCATGCTCTATCTGCAACAGATATTTTTGTTGCATGCTTTATAAGAATGTAATGTTTTTGAATTAAAATTGCCCTGTGTAACATGCAGATATAATCATGTCAAAAAAACTATATGGTTCGTACACACTAAAACATTTGCTAACTTTCTCACACCCCAGATTCTACAGCTGCTCATCTAGCACTTTTCTTCTGAAGAGTTGAAAGTATTCTTGGGACCTGTACTGTTCAACATACTCGTAAATAGATGGGCTCAGAAATGACATAATTCAGAAACAAGATCGTGGGGTTAGAATAATACTATAAAAAACATCAGATAAGTTAGTTTAGAAAGTAAATAGAAGGCTAGAAATTACTAATAGAGGAAGGGAGGACAAAGCATCTTCATAAATCACAGATTTTATTAACTTACGAGGCACACTACAATGAACACTGTGTGGAGTTCTATTCTTGTATATCTCATTTTAAAATGAGATATGAAAAATGGAAAAGGCACAAGAAAAAGACAGGTAAGATGATCCAAAGTGCAAAAGAAGTTTGGTGCAAAAACCAGCTAAATCGACAAGGCCTGCTTGGCCTGCTATCCAGGTATAAATCTACAAAATTGGGATTAGTAAGAAGATGCGTAAGATATGAACACTGATGCTTCTTTTCTAATACAACATGATATCAAATGAAACTACCCCAGTTAAGGTTCAGGACAGACAAGACAACATTCTCTTTCACACCATGCTGAAATAAAGCTGAAAGTGTGAATTAATTAGAAGTTGTTACATGTTAGAAATCTGCAGGTCAAATTTGACAGAGAAAAGAATCCATTAAGAATTAATAAACACAAACAAGGCACCTTGGGCTTAAATCTCCATGGCACAGATTACTGAAAGATCAGAAAAGATTTTTTTGGTTTTGCTTTACAACTTATTCCAGGCCTGCTTTGCTAAGTAAAACAAGGATGTGATGAGAATTTGACATAGCAGAGGGAAGGTGGCAAATGTAAGCGTATTTTGCTGCTTAGAAATCAATTAGACTCTAAATAAGAAAAATAGTTTTATTTTTAATTCATCTGCAAGCTACCCACTGGCTTTTGTTCACCTTGAAAAGAAATGACGCATTGAGCAAAGTTGAACATAACCAGTTCAGAGGAGGTGCCCCACACAAATATATTTTTACATTTTTGGGGGGATTTTAAAAAACCAACCAAACAGCCAATCAAACATAGTAAGCCTACATTGAATTTTGAAGAGACCAGACCTGGAAAAAAAATCACTAAGAGGATGCATTCCTTCTGTATCACATCAGCAGCTTTTATGATCACAGACAGAAAGGTCTTTGAATCTGTATAAGCATCATACTCATGAGACATTTATAGAAATCACTACTAACTCTTCACCTAACCCCTAGATGGACAAGCAACATAGTGATTTTATTATTCATTTTTTTGGACCAAATAGAAATGAGTATCTCTTAGAAAAATGCAAATGCCTCCAGATCGCCTTCAACTTAATCAAATTTTATCTCTTTTAGAAAGAGATAATAGTGATGCACAGTCAGTCACTAATTCCAAAAAAGGCAACTCTATCAAGCAGCAATTTCATTACCAGAAGCGCAACGAACCTGTAAGGTTTTTAAAATATATGAATGCACTAATTTTATTCTGCTGTTCAGCCAATAAAGTAACCTGAATTGCCAACTGTTATTAAAAACAATATTCTACCAAAAATAGAAGTACAATGTATGCTGCAAAAGCTCTAAAACAATTTCCACTTGGGATTTAAAGCTACAAGAGCCAAGATTTTCAAAGACAGTTTTATAAATATTCATATGTAAATTCAGTCAGTTTTCAAAACTGGTTTCAAAACTCCTGAGTAATTACATATTCCAGTGAAACACACTTCACTAGTGTTTCCCAACATGTGATTAAAACAAAACAAAAAATACATTACAGAATATGAAATAAAATAAAAATCCTACTTTAGAAATGCATTGAATGAATATTGATTCTCAGCCATCCAACAGACAGCTTCTCCTTAACTTGCTGCTAAGAACAAAACTCCACCTTTATATCTTCAGTACTATATAAAATATTCAAGAATATTTGGAAGAAGGAAAGGAAGAGAACAGACAGAAAAAAATTTCTTTGCTCTGTGTGAGCCACAGAATTACGCATTTTAGATTTAAAGATATATGTATAATCTCAAATTCTATTCTACTTAAATATATTTCCTCTGATCTGTTTTATATAATATTCTTTATTTTCTTTACCATTAGAAATTTTGTAGGTATATTTGTTAAGTAAAGTGTGCTTATTATTTGCAATAAATGGGAACAGACTTGAGAAAATGCAATAAACTTTTCTTGGCACTAAGACCGAAAAAATAAATGGTTATTTGATAAAACTGAAACAGCCAAGATATTGTTACGTCCTTCCTATTGTTCACTATTCTGGAAATCCCAAACACAACAGCTATTGCTTTTTGTCTTTTTTACAACACCCACCTGCTACCCAGAATACTTATTGTGCTATTTTCAATACCATGGTACAAAAAAATGCAAAAGACCTTCATCTTCTCTTCCCCTCATATGCACAACATTCACTCTGCTTGTTCACATGAGGGGTAGGTTTTAACAGAGAAGTTGCATCTGCCTGACATTGTAAAGCCTATTTACTTACAGCCTATTTACTGACCCATCTCTTCATGCTCCATTTCAGTTTTGCTGGAGTTCTAAACAGTTTTCCAATAACTACAAGTGAAAACCACAATAAAGTTTTTTCCTACAAATAGCAGCTTTTTTTTTTTTTCCAAGTTTAAAATTCTGAGGTGAATGCAGAGAAAAAAAATTAAAACAAAATCCCCAATATTTTTTGAACAAAACCTATCCCAAAATCTACAGAGGTCTAGTCCCCTAACTGTGTTATAGTATACAGATTTTCTACAAATCATTTTTTGGCTATGTGTATCGGAGGTCATCAAACATTAAGAAAGCTCCAGGTGCTTTACTTGTGGAACCCAGCCTCACAAATAAATTCTCCCTGATCTGTGATCTCGTGGCTCACCTCAGAAAAGGTGAAACTTCAGCCTTGAGCAATGCCCACAACAGGAAAAAATTTAGACTTTCTTTACGTTTGTTTCAAATACACCTCTGTGCTTCACCTTGCAAACAATCTGCAAAATCAGTTACTAGTACCATGATCCATATGATACAATAGAAACAGAAATAAAATTTTGCAAT